TGGTTCTCGCGACTTGGAGAATTCGTGCAATTTGTTTACGTCTTGTGTCTAAATAGACATTTTTTTTATTTTTTAAAAGATGCGACTGTAAGCACAAATGAAAGACGTAAGGTACGACTCAAAGAACTGTTTGAACTGCTTGGTAAGCTTCATTTATTTGAGAAATGTATTAGAAATGGAAATTCTTTTTTTTTTTTTGCAATATTCTGACGCGTTGATGAAATCCTCATAGGTTTTAGTATTTTTGAAGTTATCGGTAACATTTTTGCTGCGATTTACAAACTCTACGTTTCATTCAAATTCGCAAACCAATCGGTGAACTTTGAATAAGAAATTTGAAATAAACTGATTTGTTTGGAAAAATACTTTGACAAAATCCCATCAAGGTTTAATAATTACTTCAGTTTATAGGATTTCATGGTAAACACTATTCTTTTTTTTAAGAAAATCTATTTTTTCCTTTTTAACAGCGAAGAATACATTCTTAATATTTCTTACTCTTGAGAATGCAACATGTAACTGGCGTAAATATTTCTTTCTTGAGCTAAATTCCAACTTTTTGATGGGTTTGGCTTTGTTTATAGTTCTCGCAAACGCAGCGGAAACTTGAAACTGGATTCTTGCATGTAAAGAAAAAGATATGCGAAAATCAATATTGCATTTTTATTAAATAAATATTTATTATTTTAATCATTAAATTGTTTTTAAATTAGTGGATGTATTTTGTATGCTAAATAATAAAACTTTTAATTATTCCAAAATATTAATGAAAATTTATTGTACTCAGTTACGCACCCTAGTAAAACCAACTGTACTTTTACCTGTTTGCACTTCTCCCCACAAAATTTGGTTTCGATCGGTAAATGTATGGCTATTTTAGAGATGTGACAGACGGAAGGAGCAAAGTAAATCACAGATTTATATGTATACCGAGAGAAAATGAATCTAGTTACTCAAAAGTAGAAAGGGGTGTGTAAAACAAGGATGTGTCTTCACACCAGACTTAGTCAACCTTTACAGTGAAGCAATTCTGAGAAAACTAGAAGTCTGTTCTAATGGAATGTCCCACACTCCCTATCGCCTATGTGGACTGACTATATCAGGAGATTTATAAAGTGAGCACAGGATATACCTGGCGGATTTGCTTCGGGATTTACTAGCCTACTAACCGATTCCCTGTCTTTCAGTAGTGTATTCTCTTTTACAATAAACCTGTCTTTCCTTCATCTACGCCCGTGTTGCAGTTCCTTTCACTCGAGTACCACCTTTGTCTTAGGTTTGTAACCTCTTTAAGGATTCATTATTAGCGGCCACAATCTGAACGAATAATGCAAACGACACTGCGTTGATAGCGGACACAGAAGGAAACTACAGGAATTCTTACAGAGTTATAGACTGACTCCATTATTCTCAAAAATCTGTACCTGACCATTTGAAGCAAAATTGTTCAACGCCCATTATTTTATATTTCTTTCTTTGCTTTCTGCTTACATCAGTCACGGTATGCTGTGAATCAAATTGTTACAGACGTCAACCAATATCTTCTGTGTTTCGGCATTTCAACACTTTTTCTCTGTGAATTTGTTTTTGATAATTTCCCATAAATTTTCAATTAGATTCAGATCTCAGATGTTCCCCGGCCAGTTCAGTATTGTATCGTTTATTCTTAATTAAGGATTTCATGGTAAACAGTATTTTTTTAAGATATTTTTTTTTTTTTACTTTTTAACAGCAAATAATAAATGTTTAATATTTCTTACTCTTGAGAATGCAACATGTAACAGACTATGCGTAAATATTTCTTACTGGAGCTAAATTTAAACTTTTTAAATCATTTCGCCTTATGATGTGTTTATAGATTTTGCAAACGCATGGCGAACTGTGAACTGGTTTCTTGTATATATAAAAAAATTATAGAAAAGATATGCAAAAAAAAACAATATATCATTTTTATTTATTTGAGAAGGATATGAGAATAATATATAAATTATACTGGGACCAAACCACCTGCATACGGATAGAAAATGAATCTAGTAGATACTCAAAGATAGAAAGGGGCATACGACAAGGATATGTCCTCACACCGGACTTATTCAACTTTTACAGTGAAGCGATATTGAGAAAATTAGAAGACCTCCTATGATTCATTATTAGCGGTCACAATCTTAACAAAGCATGCAAATGACACAGGAGGGACAATACGGGAACTCATACAGGAACTCAATTATTCTGAAAAATCTGTACCTGACCATTTTAAGCAAAATTGTTTAACGACCATTATTTTGTATGACTTCCTTTGTTTACTACTTACATGGCTGCGAATCACGTTGTTACAGAGGTTGACCAGTATTTATTTGGGCCAAACTTCTTTAATATCATCTATCTGTGTTTCGGTATTAGAAGACTTTTTCCTTGTAAATGTGCTTTTGAGACTTTCCCCAAAATTTTCAATTAGATTCAGATCTCAACTGTTTCCCGTCCAGTTCAGTATTGTCTCATTAATCATTTTTATCATGTCACTGCAAGTAAGACAATAAAGCCACTAAGTCGCAAGACGTTACCGAGTGAAGAGAATATGAGAACAAATATAAAAGAGAGAAGGCAATAAAAGAATTAAGAAGACAGAAGATACAGATTGACATTGTTTTTAAATTTTTGAAGATCAAAGTAGACAGAGAAGCAAGAATCAGGAAGAGAGTCCAACAAGCGAGAAATGTGATTGAAGAAACTGTTAGCATAGAACTTACATAGAATGTATATATATATATATATATGTAATATATCATAGTTAGGTTGAAATGAAAGTAGTTCGACTGGAGGTATACCAAAGAGAGGTCAACTTATTACAATATGAAGCAGTATAATGAAAATATATTTTCATTTTCAGACATTACTCTTTCGGCTAGACATCCGAATGCCTCAAGCCAGGATTGAAACCCAACCGATTTGGTGGCAGTCAGTGTTTCTACCACTGATTTATCTTCATTCGACAGTATGAAAAAGCAAAATCTAGCGTATTTTTTTACGAATTGTAGCTGTTCCAGATTTGGACATATGGCGTTGCAAATCATCCGGCTTAGCGAGTCCTTCATCATCTTAATTGTATAAGTTTCATCAAATCTTTTATTAAAGGAGTCTTCTAATATTTCTTTTGCACATAAAGAATTGTTACCGAAATTCAGATTTCAGAGTCTTCAACTCTCCAGGTTTCATATTGCTTAGCAAATGCCAGACGTCTGGATTTCATAGTTGTTGTTAGTCATGGTCTCAGACCAAACTCAAATTTCGGAAGACGTAAAACTGTTATAGAACTAATACGAGTACGATTTTGATGCATAGCAGAACGCATCGTTTTACACTAACTTATGGGGGGTTGGATCGTGTAGCAATTCGATTTATCAAATAGGCATTGCATACCACTGTTTTTTTCTCTTGAATATCCACTTCACCCCTTACTACTAAATGTCCCTGAAAATTCGGTTCAGATCAAAATTGTTCACCGGCCAATCCAGTGTTTCACGTTGATCCTATTAACAAAATTCTGAACAATCTTTGATCGTTGGCATAGCATACCATCCTACCAAGATATTGTCCACTGATGAATGTGCATATACTGTTGCCAATTCTCCTGCAGTAGTTTCACCTACTTTTACACCGCTTATCATTGTTCGTGAGGGAAATAACAAGAGACTACCTGTCCCAGATTAGAACATGTTACCCCCAAATCTTCTGTCTTGATGGATGCTTCATAGTCTGAATTGTATACTTGTCATCAAACCTCTTGCCAGGGAGTCTTGTACTGTTTACTTTATTGATTGCAGATCAGATTTAGATATAACAAAAGGATAAAATGTATTAAGAGCTACAAAAGACAGGAAATTGTGGAGAGCCATGATCATTATAGAAGAAGAATATTCCACTTTGTTCTCGCTCTACCACCCATTACCCCAAAACTCATTAAATATGTTCCTCGTTTTTCCCTTCCAATGTGAATATTCTACCTAAAATAGGGTTGGCAATCAATTTTCGGATTTCTTTTATATGGACAGACCTATCACTGTGTTATGAGAGCCGTATAATATTAAAACTCAGGTCTTACAGTGACACTCTAAATAAAAATCATATATACGCACATTATCTGTATATTTATTTACTTTCACGTTGGTCCTGTTAACAAAATTCTGAATGATCTTTGGTCGGTAGCATGGCGTACCATCCTACCGAGATATTGTGCACTGATGAATGTGCATATACTTTTGCCGATTCTCCTGCAGTAGACCCACCTACTTTTACACCGCTTATCGTTGTTCGTGTGAGAAATAACAAGAGTCTACCTGTCCCAGATTAGAACATGGCACCCCAAATCTTCTGTCTTGATGGATGCTTCATAGTCTGAATTGTATACTTGTCATCAAATCTGTTGCCAGGGAGTCTTGTAATGTTTATTGCAACTGTTGCAGAGTTTATTTATCTACAAACATAACTTTGCTCTAGTTTTCAGCTGTTCGGGTTTCATGTTGCTTAGCAAAAGCCAGACGCCTGGATTTCATATTTGTTGTTAGTCTGTTGGTTTACGAGCCGGTTTTAATGATTTCAGACCAAAACTCAAATCCCCGTAAACATGAAACTGTCATCGTACTGACATTTATACCATTTTGAAACGGACCAAAATGCATGTATAGTAAATATAACGAACCCAACCAGAATTCGAACTTGACTCTCCGATTTCCCACTCCAGGCATCGTTGCTACTGGAGACAAGAAGTACATTCTTGCTGCTCCAGATTTGGGCATCCGGTTTAGCGAGTCCTTCATCATCTTCATTGTATACTTTTCTTCAAATCTTTTTATTAAAGGAGTCTTCTAATATTTCTTTTACACATAAAGAATTGTTACCGAAATTCAGATTTCAGAATCTTCAGACTCTACTCTTGGGTGGTAACTAATTGCGAAGAAAGAAAACTGAATTCAAAACTGTAAAACAAAATTATAGACATCTAGTCTATCTACGCAAGTTAAAATACGTTCCATATCTATCTATCGATCCAAGTATAGACGCAACCTAAGTTGTTATGTCGGCCCAAGTATAGACCAGACCGGACCTATATCTATCTATCTATCTATCTATCTATCTATCTATCTATCTATCTATCCAAGTATAGACACGGATAATGTTGCTATATCAAGTCAAGTATAGAGTGGACTTAAGTCTTTCTGATCCAAGTATAGATGCAGCCTATGTCGCTATGTCGACCCAACTCTAGACAGGACCTATATCTATCGATCCAAGTACAGACGCGGCCTAAACTAGCTATCGATCCAAGTATAGACACAACCTATATTGCTATATCGACCCAACTATAGACAGGACCTAAATATATCGATACAAGTATAGACGCAGCCTAATCTATCGATCCATCCAAGTATAAACACAACGTATATCGCTATATTGACCCAACTACAGACAGGGCCTAAATTTATCGATCCAAGTATAGAACGGGCTATGTCGCTATACCGACCGAAGTATAGACACAACCTGCCTATCAAGCCACTTATAGGCGCGGCGTAAGTCTATATCCCGACCCATGTGTAGACACGGCTTATGTTGCTATATCGCCCCAAGTATAGACAGAACCCAAATCTATCGACCCAGCCATAGACGGCCTAAGTTGCTATATCCACCCAAGTATAGCCACATCCAGGATCAACAGGTAATATTGATCCAAGTATAAATATGTTCAATGTCTATCGACTTAAGTATAGACACAACCGATGTCTATCAACCCCGTGTATATATACAACCTGTCCATCTATCGGCCCAAGTATAAAATAGATCCTTGTTTATCTATCGACCAAAGTATAGACGCAGCCTATGTTGTTATATCGACCCAAACATAGACATGACCCATGTCTATCTATAGACCCATGTATTGATAGAACCTAACTCTTTCTATGAACCAAAGTATAGATAAAATCTATGTCAATCTATCAACATAAGCATAGTCCATCTATTGACCCATGTTTACACACGATCTAAGTTTATCTATCGACTCTATAGACACGATCTATGTCGATCTATGGACCCAAGTATGGATACGACGTATGTCGCTATATCGACCCAAGTATAGACAGAGCCAATGTATATCTGTCTTCTCAAGTATAAATACGATCTCTATCTATTGACCCAATTATAGAAACAACTCGTATCAATCTATTCACCCAAGTATCGATTCTACCCATGTCTATCTATTGTCCAGAGCATAGATAGGCCTATATCTATTTATCGACTAAAAGATAGAATCAACCCATAACTATCTATCGATCCTAGTATAATTCCGCCCTATGTCGCTATGTCGACCCATCTACAGATACGACCTATGTCTATTAACCAACTAAGAGAAAAAACTTAACCTATACCTATCTATCGACTCTAGTATAGACCAGACCTATGTCACTATGTCGACCCGTCTACAGATACGACCTATGTCTATTAACCAACTAAGAGAAAAAACTTAACCTATACCTATCTATCGACTCTAGCATAGACCAGACCTATGTCACAATGTCGACCTGTCTACAGATACGACTTATGTCTATTAACCAACTAAGAGAAAAAACTTAACCTATACCTATCTATCGACTCTAGTATAGACCAGACCTATGTCACTATGTCGACCCGTCTACAGACACGACCTATGTCTATTAACCAACTAAGAGAAAAAACTTAACCTATACCTATCTATCGACTCTAGTATAGACCAGACCTATGTCACTATGTCGACCCGTCTACAGACACGACCTATGTCTATTAACCAACTAAGAGAAAAAACTTAACCTATACCTATCTATCGACTCTAGTATAGACCAGACCTATGTCACTATGTCGACCCGTCTACAGACACGACCTATGTCTATTAACCAACTAAGAGAAAAAACTTAACCTATACCTATCTATCGACCCTTATATAAACCCGACCTATGTCGCTATGTCGACCCGTGTAAAGGCCTGACCTACGTCTATTTACCGACGCAAGTATAAACACAACCTATGTCGATAATTACTTGAATCCTAAGTTTATCTATCGACTCTATAGACACGATCTATGTCTATCTATGGACCCAAGTATGGATACGACGTATGTCGCTATATCGACCCAAGTATAGACAGAGCCAATGTATATCTGTCTACTCAAGTATAAATACGATCTCTATCTATCGACCCAATTATAGAAACAACTCGTGTCAATCTACTCACCCAAGTATCGATTCTACCCATGTCTATCTATTGTCCAGAGCATTTTGTCGACCCGTGTAAAGGCATGACCTAAGTCTATTTACCGACACAAGTATAAACACAACCTATGTCGATAATTACTTGAATCCTCTATCCAACCAGCAAGAATCGTTTAAAGTTTCAGAGAAAATGTCAAGTATTTTTTTTAATGGCATATAACATAGTGTTCATTTCGCAAAGTGTTTTAAAACTCTCATAACACCTCAAAAATATTGATTATTTCCCATAACACTGGTCATTCGCTTTGTCGAGATTTGCTGAAATGGAGCTTGTAAGCTGATCTGGCGAATTTACAAGATATTGCTTTTTAATTTTCCTAGACGTAAAAGAAATTTATTAGGAAATATCATCTAAACTTCTGTGGCTTATTGTTGTGGATTCCGGAATGAAATCCGGAACCAATAAATAACAAACGCCAAGAAGAAATAGAGGAAAATAAATGTATTAATGTAATAATTCAAACCGGTAATGCAGGTTAGTAGTTCCAGGAATGCGGGTTAGTAGCAAAATATATATATATATACACTTTTTGGTATCGACGTATGACTTCTTACTGAGTCTACGTGCTTGCTCACTGTGACTTTTGCTTGTTACGTTCGTGCTCGTTCGTGCTTTCTCGTTCTTCTTCGTTCGCTCTCGGGTATTTACTAGCAGTAGTATATGTATACCCTGGATGAGTCCATTTGTGTAAAAAGGGGGGAACCCCTCAACACTTATTGATCACAGAGTGGGGGAAATAGGGCTAAGATTATTTGATACTCACAGGACGTGTCGAAGGCGAGAGGAAAACGACCCATAACCTAACGAGCTAGACTAAATGAATGGCGGAACAAGGGTTAGGAAAAATAAGTAAAAGACAAAATTTATTAAAAGCAACAAAAGACAGGAAATAGTGGAAGACCATCATAGCCAACCTCCCGAAGGTAAACAGCACATAGAAAGCAGTAGAATAGGGTTCATTAAATGGATGACGGAACAAGGTTTAGGACTTATAAAAGACAGCATTTATAAAGGGCTACAAAGGAAATTGTGGAGAGTAATGATCGCCCACGATCTGAAGGAACACAGCACATAGAAGAAGAATGAGCTTGATTAAATGAATGGCTGGACAAGGTTTAGAAGAGATCACAAAAAGAGAAAATTCATTAAGTGCTACAAAAGAGAGGAAATTGTGGGGAGTCATGACCGCCCACTTCCTGAAGAGACATTACTCATAGAAGTGGGCGATCATGGATCTCCACAATTTCCTCTCTTTTGTAGCTCTTAATAAATTTTCTCTTTTTATTATATCTTCTAAACCTTGTCCAGCCATCCACTTCATAGCTTGAGTAAATGGATGGCGAAACAAAATTTAGGAGAGATAATAAAAAGAGAAAATTTATTAAGAGCTACAAAGGCCAGGAAAGTGTGGAGAGCTATGATCGCCAACGTCCTAAGGAAGAAGATCTTTTAAGAGAAACCTCCAATCGATTTTAGCACGAGATTAAACAATCTTCTTTCTTCTTTTTGCTTAATTGTTGGTATCTATCAACCATGACAGATTTCATGAACGCTTTGACAATATCAGAATTTAATTGTATCCGGTAATCCCGATCTTTTATGTATGTTTATTATTTTGTTTAGAATTCCAGAAAATAGTGGGGCAGTGTCCTTCAAGAATCTTTCTCTTGATGGTACAAGTTCCAAATTTGTGCTCCAGGATCCATTCTCTCAGATATGTACGTTAAAAAACAAAATGGCAACCATTTTTCAAGATGGCCGTCTCATAAAATAGGAAAAAGGGTTTTCAGTGCTAGACGTCTATAAATAGGAACATATGCTATCGATCCGAATATCTGTGATACTATTTGCCGTTGTTAAAACATAAGAAAGTGTTATGTACTGAATGGCATTGAAATGAGAACGGTGAGAGAGAATAATAAAAGAGAGGGTGGGGAAAGGGAATTCCGCAAAGTTATGACGTAAGCCGGAGAGGATACACCAAAAGGCTCCTTCCTCGCCATACCCCGTTATCATGCCAGTTTGGGCGAATGTCCATAAATACGAAAGCGCGAAGCGAATTAAGTAGAAGAGAGAAGAGAGGCAGAAGAGACGGAGACGATACCAGAGACAGGAGAGAGGCCCACGTGATTATCTGCCGATGAAAGCCTCCGATGAAAGCCTCCGATGAAAGCCTTGTGCCAAACTTTACCAAAGCAACAAACCAGATTTTGCCAGGTCAACAATAATATCACGCGGATTTGGCTTATAATTAATTGCATACGAACTCTGATAAAAGTCAATTATTGTACGGAGGACTGATATAAAGACAGTATTTACCTCTGTTCAATTTATTCGACTGTCATTTTTTCCCCTGTACGCCATAGCCCTGCTTAGACCAGCCCAACAAGAAGATACCTGCGACGATTTGTTCTTGGCCTCCTTATGATCAAACTTAAATCACAACGTGGGATAGGACAGGTCTTCATCGATCAGCCGTGGTGTTGGAAGTCTTGGACGACCTGGGAGGGTGCGTTGTACGATGACATGTTAAATAAATTTTATTTTGACTGGAGAAATATATTTTAGCACTGATATTCGAAAATGCTTACCAGTTTTCAAGATGGCGGCCATTACATGACTTAAAATCAGTAATTTTGTAGCTGTCCAACAAAATTATCACAGATATCGTTAGGCAACAAAAGATAATAATTTCCTGCTGTATATGTTATATTATTCTTAATTTATTTCCTTTTTGTAAAATGTAGCGCTAAAAGAACCTGTCCTCATTTAATTCTGGCCATATCATCTTAGTTGTCAATAATTACGATTGAAATGCAGAAATTGATTTTTTCGAACTAAAAAGCATATATTTCAATGCATAGAATGTTAAAATAGCATTATTCCATTAAAAATTA